TCGACATTCATCTAAAACAGTTAACAAAATGCCAAAACCGATTCATCAGAATATTTAAAAATCTTCATCCTCATTGTCACACAAGTGAATATTATCTCGAGATGAAAATACTCAACATCAAAAACTTGTTCATCTACCACGTTGCAACATTCATTTTTAGATCTCTACGTCAGCAATTGCCGGCATTTTTTAGAAACTTTTTCACTTTTGGAACTTCCATTCAAGCAAGAACTACACGCCACACGCCACTTTTCTATGCTCCACCAGCCAGAATTAAAGTACTCTGCATGAGTTTGAAACACACCGGCCCAGGAATATGGGAGACGATTCCACAAGAAATTAAAGATTGTAACACTTTGCATCTTTTTAAAAATAAACTGAAAAATTTTTTAATTATGAAAAGTTCTGTTTTTCAAGGATAATAATGTTTATGTATATATATGTATATAAGTGTGTACATATTCATTAACATTGATACATTTTCTCCTATTGACAATTTTATTTTATCATTGAGAAGCAATTTTGAGCTGCACGGTGGCCGAGCCCACAAGAATTAATTTTCTTTTTTTGGTCTCCGAATCATTCATGCTTTTGTTTTGTTTGATTGAATAAAAAGTGATATGTATGTATGTATGTATGTATGTATGTATGTATGTATGTATGTATGTATGTATGTATGTATGTATGTATGTATGTATGTATGTATGTATGTATGTATGTATGTATATATGTATGTATGTATGTATGTATGTATGTATGTATGTATGTATGTAAGTATGTATGTATGTATGTATATATGTTTGTATTTTTGTGTCTTCGAATGCTTGTTCTTTTTTAAATTTCATTGTGAACATTTAAAGGCGTTGCTTACAACAATTTAATGTTCAAAATGCTAAGTACATTCCATACACACACACACATACGCACATACATACACACACACATACTTACAAACATACATACATACATACACACACACACACACATACATACATACACTACTTAAATTGTAATTAATTCAATTCAATTACGCTATTTAAAATAACAATACTACTATACTACTGCTACTGCTACTACCACTACTATTAATAATAATAATAACAATAAAAGTAATAATAATAATGATAAGCAGAATAACAATAATACAAATAACAATATGGATGGGGAATATCGTAACACGCTTTTTCAGTGGCTTCTCCAAATTGAAACCCTTCAAGTAAGTCGCTCTTCTATAAAACGTTTTACTCACACACACGCACACATACGCACACACACGCACACACACGCACACACATACACACACATACAAACATACATAGGTACATGTTTTTTTATCATTACCATTTGTAAATCTATTTAAATTGTAACTAATTCAATTCACATACACAAACAAACACATACGCACGCACACACGTACACATGTACACATACACACACAACATTGTTGTTGTTGTTGTTGATGATAGATACGTTGATGGTATTAATGTTTTTTGTTTTTGTTTTCATTATCAATTTTCCGTTCGTTTTTTTTATTCTCTGACAATAGCAAAAAAACATGGCGATGCCATTTTTGAAAAAAAAAACCAAATACACTAAATAGCAATATATTATTGACGTATCGATTGAGTATCTTTTTCCGAAATTCGCGGAAAAGCTTTTCTCGCTCACTTTTTTGTTTTTCAGCATACATACATATACATACATATACATACATACACGCATGCATACATATACATACATGCATACATACATATACATACACGCATACATACATATACATACACGCATACATACATGTAAATACACGCATACATACATATACATAAACATTAACGACAAATCAAAGTGTTAATCCATTTGTTACTTGATGTTTGACGGTTCAGTGTCACTCATCATGTTTTGGTTTTAACATATACATATACACATACATAAACACATTAATACATTGCAAAAGAGTAGCATTGGCTGCGTGTTATACAAAGTATCATGTTCAAGTTGGGTTAATTTAGCTGAGTTTAGATAACGTCTAACGACACACCTATTTGGTAACTCCTAGTGATCATGATCCTAGATGATGGCTTTGCTTTCAACATGCTATCCCTTAGCTATTAGTAATTTCTAAGAGGAGTGCGCTGATGAGAAGCGATTATAATTGGCGCTATATAAATTCAAAATTCAATTCAATACATACATACATATTGTTATACTGCTCGCTCTTCACCATCCTACGACGGTAACTGAACGATCAACATAGTTTGTTTTTGGGGAAATTCTTTCTGATTCTGTAAACTCGCTCGCTCAACTTTAAATAACTCGATATTGTTCATGTACATAAGATAATGAGAGAAGGCTTTAATTAGCGACTTAAGTGTGTTGGGTATTAGTTAGTGCTTAAAATGTTGTAAAACTTAATAAACGAAATCGAACGAGAAACGACTCACCCATTATTGTTAATAATATTTACATTGTTTGATTGCAGCTAAATATACTTTAATGAAGTAAATTAACATAACTTAAAACAGAGAATTACAATATAGAAAGTAACGCAAATAATAATGTGTAGAAGTGTGTCTAAGTAGTGTTCAAGAGCTTTAAGCACATCCAGAGATAATTGAATGAACAACATCAACAACAACGACATATTGATAACTATTCGTGTCTAAAAATTTGAAATTATAAATATTTCTGTCTAAAGATTGAGTTTTACTGATTTTTTATAACAACCCTATTCACAACGGGGGCCATATCTGGGCCCTGCCAATCTGCCTCCCCCCTCCTAGATCCGCCACTACATACAAACACACACACATACAAACATACAAACAAACACACACACATACATACATACAAACACACATACATGCATACAAACAAACAAACACACATACACACGTGCAGACCGAAGCAAACATACTTACACGTAATGTTTTTAGCGCCGGAAGTCGCAAATTGAAATAAGAATGAAGGAGGCCATTTTACAAAATGGCGGTAATGCGGAAAAAGAGATGATCGTCTTTACGTGAGAAACCTGCTAATGCTGTAGCGCTGAATTATTAATTTTATTTATTCTTTTTGGCTCTTTTGTTATTTCTTGTGGCGTGTTTAACTGATGGTCGTTGAATTATTTTTCCAATCTATCGAGCCATTAACAGTTCATGCAACTACTATCTTTTTATTCATTCATTTATTCGTTCATTCATTCATTCATTCATTCATTCATTCATTCATTCTTTTATTCATTCATTCATTCATTCATCTATTCATCTATTCATTCATTCATCCATTCATTCATCCATTTTCCCATCCATCCATCCATCGCATCGCATGTAGGCAGCCACTTATTAAACGACTCGTGCGTGTAAATATTATGTCTTTTTGTCGGTACATATCTATAAAATAATCACACACACACACACATACGCACGCACACACACACATACATACACACACGCACACATGCATGCAAACATACGTGCTATTATAAATTATAAGATCATTCAATTACGTCACCACTACAACTTCATTTAAAATTTATTTTGTTTGTTTGATTGTTTGTTTGTTTGTTTGTTCGTGAATATATATATTTGTGTGTGTGTATGTGTGTGTCTGTGTTTATATGAATTTCTGAATGATAATTATGCTTTTTGATTCATCACGTTTTTTTATCCATCCATCTGTTTAACTATTTCCTTCAGTCAATCATTGATAATCAATGCATTCATTCATATATTAATTCATTCATTTAGTAATTTGTTCATTTATTTATTTATTCATTCATTCATTCCTTCATTCATTCATTCGTTTGTTCATTCATTCAACCACTTATTCATCCATTCATTCATTCATTTATTCACCCACGTGACATAATCGTTTGCACCGGAAACAAAACGAACGGTTTTTTGCTCCACTTCCACCGGAAATGGATGCTCTATCTCATTTCTTATTTAATTCTTTTTTTATTAAATTCTTTTTTCTTTTTTTCTTTTCACATTGATTTGTAATTCAAAATCTGATAAATGATTTTAATTAATTGTGTGGTATGTATATGTATGTAAGTGTGTGTGTATGTATGTAGGCATGTATGTGTGTTTGTATATTAAAACCAAAACATGATGAATGACACTAAACAGTCAAACACCAAGTGGATTAACACTTTGATTTGTTGTTAAATGCACATGTCGGCATTCAGTTGGATATTTTCAAACACACAGACACGCAGGAACCGCTGCAACAAGCACGAAATGTGGTTAGTTGCGAAAAACAGTTCCCTGCTGTCGCCTGATCTGACGCTGATCATTTTACATATTGCCTTAAGAAATTTAAGGGTGTTGGGGTCCATCGGGCCGAGAACCTCGATACATATTGGCAAAAATTCCATCAAGGGAGGGCATTTTCATGTTTTTTCATTTTCTCCTCCACCGTCTTAACTGACTTAAGAAATTTGAAGTGTTAGTGTGTTGAAATGTCGGATGGTTCCTTGAGAACTGGAGTTGAAGCCTTGCAGAAGAGTCGGTTAATATAGTCGTTTAATGCTGAGTGGCTTAGTTGTCGGCTATGTATGTATTGATATGTATGTATATGTATATATGTATATGTGTGTGTATGTTTGTATTTTTATTATTATTATTATCATTATTATTATTATTATTATTATTATTATTATTATTATTATTATTATTACTGCCTCGTTTAAATCAAGTGCAAAATATTTTATCTGTTGAATGGTTTGGAGTGAGTTTTTTATGTGTGTGAATGAATGACTGAATGAATGAACAAACGAACGAACGAACGAACAAATGAATGAATGAATGAATGAATGAATTAATGAATTAATGAATGAACAAACGAACAAAAGAACGAACGAACGAACAAATGAATGAATGAATGAATGAATTAATGAATTAATGAATGAATGAATGAACAAACGAACAAAAGAACGAACGAACGAACAAATGAATGAATGAATGAATGAATGAATGAATGAATGAATGAATGAATGA